TCTGTGAAGACGAATTCGTGCCCATTCCCTTCCCCAACAGGCAGTGCTACAAATAGTACAACTGTCACTTCAGCCGGGGGAGTGACAACAGATGGAGTTCAGAGACTGTCTCTGTGCATATGCACAAGCCAGGCAAGGTGTTGGAGCACTATGAGGCTGGGAACACTCATTCTTCTCTCCTTTGCAGTTTCTGAGATCAGGATAGAGTGTTACCTTGCACGACATTTGGGAAACAAATTACTTGAAACGTTCTTGTCGCCCACAGGAGAGATTTGATGTCACTGCAGTAAAGATTCATGACTAATTTAAAAGTGAAACCTTTTTTTGAGTGAGATGGGAAGGAGTTGAGTTGACCATCAAAACCTCAAGGACTTTTTGCATACAACAGAAAGTCTTACTTCATAAGCAGAATAATCAGCAAATTGAGAGCACACAACCCACCAAGGAGCTCTGTACAAAAAATATGGATTGCTTTTGGGGAGTGCATAATTACTTCTCAGCTGAGCATGAGCTAAAGCTGAGCAGGAAGCCTAAGAGAAGAGAGCCTTGAAACAGGGCTCTGCCCAGAGGTGGAAGGTTGTAATTAACCAGCACCAGCAGCATGCACAAGGCATTTAACAGCATCTGTTCTCTTTCCCCTCTCTGGCCCAGTATATTGAGTCTCCTGATGTGGAAAAAGAGGTGAAGCGTCTCCTGAGCACAGATGCCGAAGCTGTCAGTGTCCGTATCCTTTTAACAAGAAAATAGTAGGACAGGACACTGTGTGTGACCTGGGGGTTCTGGAAAGAACAAGTCGAGCTTTGTATGGGTGTGGGAGATGGAGATAAACACACAAGAGGCACTCAGATTTTAGAGCTTCAGCTTTGCCTTGCTCAAAGCTAATTGTTTCCTCAAAGTGACCTTTCTTATGGAATGTACTATTGTACTGAGCAGGAAATGAAATAACAGTAGAGGAGAAGTCATCCAAAAAGGGCTCTGGTGGGGAAAAATCATCAACAAAGAGGTCTGGGGTGTTTGTTCCTGGGTATCCATATCTGCAAGGCCAGACGGGGCAGTGATGTACTGCAGTTTTTAGCATTCTTTCATCATACTGCATCTTCCACATTCCTCTTTTTCCCTTAACTCATCTGTTCCTGCTGTCAGGCTGGGAAGTCATTGCTGAAGATGAAACAAAAGAAGTAGACAACCATGGTTCGCTCACCAGCCTGGACATCTCCTCCCCAGGGATGTCAGGACACAAGCAAGGCCATGGCTCCTCAGGTGCAGTAGTGAAGGCTCTTTGTTTTCTTTCTAAGTGTTCCGTTGGGCCCATTCTTTCTGGGGGTGGCCCTAGCCAGAGCAAAGGAAGGAGTGATGTGATCCCTGGCAGCACAGGGTGCTGGGAGGTCATCAGTTGTGTTTTAACTCTTTTACCCCCATCTAGAACATGATGAACTACGGGAGATATTTAATGATATCAGCAGCAGCAGCGAGGATGAAGATGAGAGGGATCATCATGATGATGAAGACCTGAACATCATGGACACTGAGGAAGACTTGGAGAGACAGCTGCAGGACAAGCTGAATGAGTCTGATGGGCAGCAGCAGGAGAATGAGGGGTCCAACCAGATTGGTGAGTGGGTGGCAGAGCACAGCAGCATTGTCAGGATGCCAGGTAGGCTGCACTGCCTGGCTCTGCTGCTGCTCTGGGTCTGAGCTTGCTCTCCCTTCCAGCCATGGGCATCCAGAAACAGATTGACAACCTGAAAAGTAAGCTTCAGGAGACTCAAGACAGGAGAAAGCGCCAAGAGGATCTTATCATGAAAGTGGAGAACTTAGCCCTCAAGGTGAGAGCTCTCCTGGGGTCTCTTCAAGTCTTCTGATTAGCACTGGCTTGCAATTAGATTCAGCAGGCTGATTTAGCTACTGCCCTGGAAAAGCCGGGGGCCTTTGCCTGCTAGGTTAAAAATAGCTGTGGTGTGGCCTACACAGTTCTGCATTTCCCCATGGAGGCAAAGCAATCTATGAAACCAGAGGAGATCAGGGAGGTGGATGTCAATACAGCTTGGGACTTGCTTCACCATTTGACATGTTGTGCCAGCACCCATTCAGTTGAGAACACATTGGTAACTGTGGTTTGGCGTTTGTCTCTGCAGACCCGTCTCCAGGCCGTGCTGGATGAGTTCAAGCAGCAGGAAGAGCGAGAGAAGCAGCAGGTGAGGAAACTCGCACAGTGGAGGGGGAAGTATTGGGGGGCATGGCAGTTCAGGCTTGGCCTCTGACAAAGTTTCCACAATCCTGTACCACACCAGCTGCTGTGAACTCCAGTATTACATGTCAGGTGTGGTTGTCCCTCCTCTGTAGTTGCATGGAGCTTCCTAAGGCAGAAAAAGATAGAGGGAATGGGCTTGATTGCAGCCTTCCTTCTGGAGGTGCAGAGAGCCAAAATATGTTCAGTCAGCAGTCCAAAGCTGCCAGGATGGCTGCCTGGGGTAAAACATGACACACAAACCCACTAGCACCCATATACAAGAAAGGCAGTGGCTGTAGGATCTTGACAGATCTCCTGCCTGGTCAGCTCTGTTTCAGCAAGGTGCCAAGGCAGGATGTTCTTACACTCAAGTTCCTGTGGGCAGTGCCAGTTCTGTCCCAAAGGTGCCCAGGCAAACCTCTGGAGAACACACAGGCAGGCAGAGCAGCCACCAATGTGGGTAGATCTACAGGGACACATAAATGCTGGGGCTGGGACTGCTCAGAGTCCCAGCCATTCCTTACTGTAATCCTTACTCCCTCTTCAGATGGCATCCCTGCAGGAGCAGCTGGAATCCCTCATGGAGAAGTGAGGGTGGACCTGGGTCTTTGTACCTGTGAGCAGAGCTGAAGGTGGTGGTCACCTGCCATGCTGAAGTCTTTGCTTTAGTCACTCACTTCTGCTGCCAGATGTGCTGCTGAGCAGTGCTAGAGGTTCTGTGTCCAGAGCTGCTTTCACATCCATTGTGCTGGGTTTGGCTGGTGCCGAGAATTGGACTATGCCTGTGCAAGCAGCCAAACACTGGATTTACTGTAAATAGTCAGCACTGATCACCCTGGGCCAGCACAGTGCTGGTTTCTGCATCTTAATGAGTCTTGGGCTTGATGGGCTGTGGCGTAGTAGGAGCTTGTGTTGGAGGATTTTTGTGTCTGCCAACCAAACTCAATAAAGTACCATTTCCAACCCTGGTCTGTTCCTCCATGATCTCCCGAGGGTCTGACTGCACACAGCCCCTGGCAGGGAGCTGTGCCTGGGCACTTCTGGGGCACTGCAGGGCTCCTTCCCCAAAGTGTTCTGAGTGGGGCTGGGTCAAAAGTGACTGCATGCTGTCATTCTGTGGGAGGAACGAGGGCCTCCTGATCAGGGAGTTTCTGTAATTCCTCACAGACTAGGCAGGCAAATCCCAGATTAACCTGGCAGGGTGGGAAGAGGATTAGAAAGGCAGTTACAGAATTCTACGGAGGGTACCGGGGGCTTCAGCAAGTGTGTGCTACGGCAGGACACCCCTCTCACAACCCAAAGGGCAGGAGAAGGGGAGAAGACTTCCAAGTTCTGCTCCCAGCACAGAAAGGAAAAGGTCGGTAGCAGCCTTGGGAGGTGACATGTGTATCCAGATAGTCAAGAAAGAGAGATACGCCTGAGGAGACTTGAGGCTCAAGAAGAGGCAGAGTGTGCTGGTGTGCACGTACCTCTGAGCTGCTCCTGGGGGCTGGCAGGAGCAGCCATGGAGGAAACCTACCTGCTGAATGTGGAAGGGGTCAAAAAGAAGATTCTGCATGGAGGCCGAGGGGAGCTGCCAAAGTTGCAGGATGGGAGCAAGGTAAAGTGTCTTGGTTGTCATTACCCCAAAGCCCTGGGAGAGGGAGTGGGTCTGACACTGCCATCCCTTCTCACTGGGCCTGTGACACCTCCCTCTGTCCTGGTGCCCTTAGAGCTCAGCGGCCCCAGTGGGTGACTGAAATCTACCTTTCCTGACATGTGGCAAGCAGGAGTGAGGTGTGCCAGCAGGTTCTTCTTGGGAAGATTCCTCAGCCCTTGGGTATGGGCAGAGCAGTGTGGGTTCCACCAGGTCCTGGTGCATACTGTGAGAGCACCCTCTGTACTGGGTTATAAAGGGAGTTCCATAGGGAGCAGCATGACATAGTATGGATGGGCTTTAAGGCACTCCACCATCTGCTTGCTGTCTTAAGACAAGTGGGTAGCACACACAAGCTCCTGCTGTGGAGGGAGAGCTGGGAGCAGGCTTGCCCCCACAGCAGTCATCATTGGGGCTGGCAAGAGGACTCAATGGGCTTTCTCTGGGGCAGATCACCTTCCACTTCCAGACGCTGAAGGATAACTTTGAGCGGACAGTGATCGATGACAGCCGGGAAGCTGGCATGCCCATGGAGATCATCGTGGGCAAGATGTTCAAGCTGGAGATATGGGAGACGCTGCTCAGCTCCATGAGAGTTGGGGAGGTGGCAGAGTTCTGGTGCGACATCATCGTGAGTGAAGGGCCCACAATGCCCACTTTCCTTCTTCCTGCAGAGCCAGGGCACAGTACCATGCATCCCAGAGGTGTCCAAGGTCTGGTGCAAGCACAGAGGGCACTTAGCCACAGTGCAGGGGGGGCTGCCCCAGACAAGGAGTTGCAGACAGTCCCCACACAGCTGAATGGAGTGCTCCCCCTCCTTGCAGCACACGGGCATGTATGCCCTGGTCTCCAAGGGCATGCGGAGGATTGCAGAGGGCCGAGACCCCCTGGAAGGGCAGAAGCACCGTTGTGGCATGGGCAATATGTTTGACTACCACAGCACGGGCTACGATGACCTGGATGAGCTGCAGCGGACACCACAGCCTCTCATCTTCATCATGGAGTTGTTCCGGGTAAGGGGGATGGCAGGGAAGGCTGCCAGAGTGGGAACAGCTAGCTAGGACAGGCAGCTCAGCTCTTGCTGCCCATGCAGGTGGAGGACCCCTCAGCATACAAGCGTGACACCTGGGCCATGAACAAGGAGGAGAAGCTGGCAGCAGTGCCTGTGCTGCACAGCGAGGGCAACCGCCTCGTCCTCCGCAGGGAGTTTGCACAGGCAGCAGCCAAGTACCAAGAGGCTGTCATCTGCCTGAGGAACCTCCAGGCCAAGGTGAGTGGGACCAGCCACGTCCTGTCAACCCTGCCTGGGTTGCACCTCAAAGTGTTTCCATGTGAGCCTTGAGTGGCTGGGAGGGGGGGGCCACAGCCACTATTTCTCCCATGGGAGGATGACTGGCTGAAGCTGGAGAGCCTGGTCACGCCGCTGGTGCTCAACTATTGCCAATGCCAGCTGGAGCTTGGCGAGTACTACGAGGTGCTGGAGCACACGACAGAGCTTCTCCAGAAGCACAATGGTACCTGTGGCCTGCATCCAACCCCCCTGCTGCACCCACAGCCCCCTGGGGACCCTCTCCTCCAGATCCCCTATCTCTGACAATTCTCATCCCATGTCCCTCTGGCCATGATGGTACCTATGTCATCTGGGTCACCATATCCACTGCAGAACCCATGTCTTAGTTTCCCCTGCCCATGTTCCTGGTTTCCCCTGCCCACAGTGGCATCTCTAGTTCCTCCCACTCACCACACCATGCTTCCTCTTGCCCATGATGATCCCTGCACCCCTTGTGCCCTGCTGCCCACAGTGGTATGTGCATGGACCAGGTCTCCCTGCCCTCCCTACAGGTGTGTTCACCCCATGTTCTCCTGCTCCATGTGCTTCATGTCCCCTGGGTTCCCAGGGTCTCCAGCTCCTGTGGCTGGTGGTCCTGCACTGCCGGACCCCCACTGGACATTCTTCTCTCCTGGCAGACAACGCCAAGGCCTATTTCAAGCGGGCAAAGGCCCATGCTGCTGTCTGGAATGAGCGGGAGGCAAGGGAGGACTTCCTGCGTGTGGCTCACCTTGACCCCTCCATGGCAGCGGCTGTGAAGAAGGAGCTGAAGCAGCTGGGGGAGAGGATGAGGAAGAAGCACGTAGAGGATCGGAAGCGCTACCAGGGACTCTTCCAGTCACCCAAGGGTCCACGGGTCAACAAGGGGCAGGAGACTGGGGAGGTGGGCAACAGGGCAATGGTGGAGGACAAGGCACCACAGGGTAAGCCTGGGGTCCTGGAGATCCCCAGGCAGGGGGAGCAGGATGCAGAGGAGCAAGATGAGGAGGAGGAGGAGGGGGAAGAGGAAGAAGAGGAAAGGGAAGAGGAAGAAGAGGCCCACCACCAGGTGGAGAAGGAGGAAGCAAAGGAAGAAAAAGAGGAGAGGGAGGAGAAGGTAGAGGGGAGGGCAGAGGAGGAAGATGAGAAACTGGAGGAGGGGGAGGAGGTGGAGAAGAAGGAAGAAAAAGAGGAGGAGGAGAAAGTAGAGGGGGGAGCAGAGGAGGAAGATGAGCAGTTGGAGGAGGGGGAAGAGGTGGAGAAGGAGGAAGAAAAAGAGGAGAGGGAGGAGGTAGAGAAAGAGGAAGAAAAGGAAGAAAAAGAGGAGAGGGGGGAGGAGGTGAAGGTAGCAAAGGGGAAAGTGGAGGAAGATGAAGAGAGTCTACCAGCAGAGACAGAAAAGCTGGATGTAGGACAATGTGGGGCAGTAGAGCTTGGGCAGGGTCTGGAGCAAGGAGCCAGTGGGGCAAAGGAAGCTGGCACAAAGAGTGTGGCCAGAGCTCAGCCAAACAAACCCCCAGAGTCAGGGAACCCCAGAGAAGGGTTGGGGACAGCTGAGGGGGCCCCAGAGGTGAAGGACAAAACTCCTGGAGAGGCACTGGAAGAATTGAGCTGCGGGGAGCAGCAGGCAGACAGTGGACAAGAAAATGCTGGGGAAGGCAACATCTGCCCAGACAGCTTCACCTCTGAGGCAGTGCTCCAGCTTGGTTACTCGAAGGCAGGTGAGGAGCTGGGTGGAACAGCCAGAGAAGGGGATGCTGCACCCCTAGGGCAGTACAGCAAAGAGCAGGGCCACGACCCTGGGGCACACAGTCAGCCCTGAGCAAAGCCAGTTACCCTTGCTTGGGGGAAAGGCTGCCAGATCACTGACAAGGAGGCACAGCACAGGCACTGGGGCTACTGTACCCTGAGAGGGAGCCCCGGGGCTGGGGACGGGCCCAGTAGGGACACAGGAACAATGTTGTTCTCACCCTGCTGCCGCCTGTTCTCACCCTGCTGCCGCCAGGCCCACCAGCCCCACTGTGCAGCAGTGCCTGCTGCATCCCTGCCCCGACTCATGGGCTCCAGAGCCTTTCAGCTGGGCGCCACTGAGCTTTGCTGGCTGAGAAATAAAAGATCTTCCCTGGCACCATGTTCTGGATTTGTTCCTGGACGTGACCTGCTTCTCTGATCACAGTCCACACCTCCTGCCTTTCCCTGGAGCCTGCAGTACTGGGATGGGGCAGTTTGTGCTGCTCTTGAGAGGAGTAGTTAAAGAGGCTGCATTTAACCCCCATTTAAGCTCCTGAATCTCACCTGTGTGAGCTGTCGCCAAACTTCCCTACAGTGGCACCATGTCAGGCCTTTGCCCAGCACCACCAGTCCTTCCAACCAGGGGTGAGAGCAGGTCCAGCCCAAAAGAGTACCAGACCTGGGCAAGTATCACCATCAACCAAGTCTGCACTGTACCCTAAGCAGTGGGGAGGGTCTGAGACACCTCAGCCTTACCCTGAGCTACTCCTCAGCCAAACCCCTCGCTCTGGCACAGAGGCATAGTGAACACAGGCAGCACTTGGGGCAGAGGCACTCAGATGCCTCTGGGCACAGAAGACTTAATGGAGTTCCAGAGAAAAGGTGTGGGGGGAGAGGACTGCCTTGCTTGCCCAACATCCCACTGCTGCCTACATCTTTCCTGGGGCTGAAGGGTTTCCTACAGCAAAAGTTCCTGAGTGAAAAAGAGGGACTGTCCCCACAAAACCCCTGTCCCAGCCCTCAGACTGCCACATGGTCCTGTACAAACCTTGCTAAAAGAGGACTAAGATGGTGGTTGAGGAACACAACTGTATCTGAGGAACCAGGTGCTGTGCTCACAGCTTCTGTTCTGCCTCAAGTGGTGTGGACAGCCAGGGTGACACAGTGCAAGGCTGTGTCCCAGCAGCCCTGCACGAGCAGTGCCAGGATGGTGCAGCAACGGGAGCTGACTCAGCCAAGGTGCATGGACAGAAGAGGCCAGAGCACTGATCCAGGTCTCAGTATAAATACAAATTTATTCTCTTTCCAGAGCAGAGATGGCACAAAGCAGTGAGGACAGCAGCACCACAGTACATGGTTATCAGAGCATTAGCCAGCCTGCTCCCCTCCCTGCTGCATCCCAGCTCCCAAATGCAGCCCAAGCACCCAACCTGGTCACCTCTGCTCCCCATACCTGGCACTGGGGTCAGCAGCTCTGTTCTCATCCTGCCTTTTCCTTCCTCCAGCTTTCCCCAGGCTGGGTACTTTTGACCTCATCCTCAGGCCTAAACCTCACTCCTCCCCATGCTGCTCCGATCCTGCCACTGGGATAACAGAGGGGGTCCAGCCATGTCTCAGGCTGGGCTGTGGTCCCTCTCACCATCAGCCTGACACACAGCATGCTCAAAGCCAGCCTAATACCAATGCCACCACAACTGCCCTCCTGCTGCTCACCCAGCTGTGAGACGGGACAGCGAGGACAGCAACCCACACTGCTGCCAACAGACACTGTAGCTGTAGCACAACACACAATACCTGGCGATAATCCACGATGCAGGCACTGCTTCCCACCTCTGCCAGCACACCAAAGCCAGCAGCACAGTTCTGGGCCTGAGCACGCTGCCCTGGTCCCAACCTCCCAGAACAGCTCACCACTGCATCCCATCCCAGCCAGCAATGGCAGCCCTGTCTCTGTCCTAGCAAGCCCCGGTCAGATGCTTCACACCAGTGTGCAGCCCTGCCTGCACCCTGCCCTGTCCTGTGGACTCAGGTATCTCACCTCTTCCAAGCCTGTGGCCCCAGAGCACCAGGGCTATCTCAGCCCCTGCCCGGGGTTACCCTGTAGCACCTGACTCTACCACTTTCTCGACATGACACAGCACGAGATGGACAGCCTGAGGGAGCCTTTGGGACTAGGAGTCCCCACCACCCCCAAGCTGCCCTGCCAGCTTGCAGAACAGCCTCCCCTCCACTGCCCCACGGGACTCACCTGCTTCTAAAGAGAGCCTTCAGCCCTCCCAGCTCACCTCAAAGTCGAGGGCAGCAGCAAGGCAGCTGCTTCTTGGGGGCAGCAACGAGGTGTCCTGCCTGTCCTGCTGTCCACCCACACTGCTGTACTATTGCATCAGCCCCAGGGCTGCTATATGGCTGGAGAAACCC